ATCCCCAGGGGTCTAATTGCATCTGCAATGACCAGTTTTATGACTTTTGAATTCCATATTTGTCAGACTCTACCTGCCCTCTGTGTATTCGCTTATTGTCCTTGTAAAACACAATTCACTTCAGTGTAAGCAAAGTTGCGTTTTGTCATGGTGTCCTCTCCTTCCCAGAGCAACAACGCTTACTCAGTAAAATCTGTTAGCACCTCTTCAGCTAGTGTCTGACTTTCTCTTTGACATCACGCTGAGATGATTTTCACAAGCAAGAGCACTTGAATCTCATATTTTTCTCTAAAATCTTTATATTTCGGGTGTGGAGGATGTAGCCTTGGGGCAGAGAGTGTATTATGTCAGAGGCCCATGACGTACCACCAGGAAGGTAAAACAAAACAAAACAAAACAAAACAAAACAAAACAAAACAAAACAAAATACTGGTATTTCAGTAACAAACACGTGGTAACCATATGGTAAGTTGATTTTGGAGGTTGACACTTGGTGACACAGACCATAGCTTGAGGCTTAAATGCTTTTCTGTCAGTGATAGCCAGGCCATAGCTGAAAGAAGCAGAGATAAACTAGATTCTTCACCAGTTACAAGCTGTTGGCAATATGCTTTCATGCTGCTTAATAACATTTTTGGAGTCTGGCCACTGCTGTATGATGTGTGACCTGTGGAAGGCTGGTATCACAGTCAGTAAAAGACACAACTACCATCATTCAAGAAGTACAGGAAAATAGTTTAATTGAACAGTGAGACAGCAGTGAGCAGGTTCTGAGAGAGGCCTCCAACTTTATGGTGAGAGGCTGGCACTTTTGTAAGGATTTATCAAGCAAAAGTTTATGAGGTAAACACACAAGCATCCCAAGAAGGCTCTCTTTAGGTACACGCTGCTTATTTCATAGAAACACGTATACCAATAATCACTAATTTACAAAACCAATAACTATACACTAAATGCACAATTTGATATGGTCTACTATTCTGGTCTTTTAAGTCCCTTAAATTTCAAGGTAAGTGAAAAATCTTATAGAAAAGACAGTATACAAGGGAAGGATTTTTCTATCAATGTTCTAGAATGATTATGTATAGGAGGGAGATTACATTGACCTTGACCTTCACATAAACCACCAATTTCTGGTGGTTTATAAACCTGAATGCAAAACAATTTAATGCATCCACTGATAATGTAACTTAGGCAAATAAATTCATGGCCTCGAGGTAGAGTACGCATTCTGAAACTAGATGTAGGAAGTATTTACTCTTTAGGAACTAGACAATCACACCCACACATCCACCCATCCACACATATCTGTTAGACATTAGCAGGGCAGGAGAGGCAGCTGGAAAGTTATTTCTCACTGAAAAGTTATTTTTAAAACTCACTAGATAGCGGTAAGCTTATAGGTTCAGAATTCATTTCAGAGAAAAGTAACATCCTCTGAGCTTGTTGATAAGGTCCAGGAACAGTACAAAGTCCAGCCCATAGGTGAGGGGTTGGGATGACCCTTAAGATCTCAAAATAAAACTGTATGGGAAACATTCACCTAAGGAATAAACAGGGACCTAGTAGGTCAACACATCCCCTTTTTCTTGTAAATGAGTGATAACCTCTAAAGTAGGAAAGGATATTTCTTGAAAGACCTAGTCAATTATATAAATATAGCCTGAGACTTTATTCAATGCATTTACCTCACTGGACCTTGATCATGCTCACGCTTGAAGATGTATTCTCCTAGCTCTGAAAAACTGATCATTTCACAGTAACTCCACCTACACTCTACACAGTGGCCTACATGTGTTGTCTGAAATCTATCAATGACACAAAGAAGGTGTGTAGCTGGTTTTTCATGGTGTTACTACTTTGTGGTGTGGACCTTGCTTCCCAGTGATATCTATCCATGACTTCTTGGTAAGCAATGTTTTATAATTCTAAAAAGGTACACAAAATGGATCTTTTATACACAAATGAAAAGTTGAGGTTCCTGAGATAGCATCCCACCTTCCCGGTATAGCTTTGAGAAGGGCTGATAGCCCCTTAGTAAAGTGGGATTTCTGTCCACCCCTGCCAAAGATGCAGTGCAGATGGATGCCTGTGACCACATGGACTCTAGCTCATGGCTTACCTTTTCATTTCTGAGCGCAACAAGTAATTGAATACCACATCCTTAAAACCTGCAGAGCATTTTGAGTTCTGATGACCTCAAGAGAAGGGGCTTACTAGGGATTCAGACATTTCAGGAATAAAGTAGTCAATGCAGAGCAGAAAGTAACCAGAATTGGCCATCGTCACTGACCAGGGCATCTAGCATGGACCCACACACAAAATGTATCCATACATCTCAAAGTCCCTGTATTTCCAAAATACTTTCTTCCACCTTTGTTCATGTGTGTAACAGGCTCAATTAAACCCACAAAAAGTAGAAAAAATGTAACATAAAAATAACAACAATCCCGAGGTTAGCTCGGTGATAGAGCCCTTCCCTCACATACACAGAGCTCTGAATTCAACCACAGTACAGATACAGAAACAACAACTGGTGTAGGGTATAACATATGGAAACTAGCACCCCAACTATACCAGTAATCATACTGAATGTCAGGGGTCTAAATACACCATTTAATAGACATTGTCAGAGTGAAACCACATTCTACTTAATGTTGTTTGCAGAATACTAAATTCAATATAAAGACAAACCCAGGGAATGCAAATTGAACCACACTGAAATACTGGCCTGAATATGTACTACTAAATGTACAAAAAGTAACAGGTGTTAAGGATGATGCGAAGAAAAGAAGACACTTGCATACTGTTAGTGGGAATGTAAATTAGTACAGTCCTTACAGAAACCATTAAGGAGTTTCCTATGGGGTGCACAGTGGTAGTCTCATCACTGGGCTTTTATCAAAGGAAATCAGTGCATCAAAAAACATGTGGACTTTCATGCTTAAGCATCACTGTCCACATTAGCCATGATAGAGGATCAACCTAAGTGTCTATCAACTTGTGAACAGACAATGAAAATGTAGTACATACACCAATGGAAGAGGTCGCAGCAATACAAAGGACAGAAATCATGCCATTGGAAAACACAGGCGTGAAGCTAGAGACCATTATATTGAGTGAACTAAGACAGGCACAATTTGGCCCCTGACTTCATTCATATGTGGAATCTAAAAAGAAAATCTCAGAGACAGTCAGAGGAGAATGATGCCTACTGGAGGCCAAGGACAGTAGGGTGCTGGGGAGGGAGAGGGGAAAGTTGGTCAATGAGGGTGAGCTTACAGTGAGGAACAAGAGACTCTGGGAGCCGCTGCGTGGTGCGGCGACTGTGAAGGATGTATCAGACTTCAGTGGAGGCAAGACAGGGACTTTGAGATGTGTGGACATGTTCTGTGTGTGCGTCCATGCTGGGGGCTATGTCAGTGAAGAGGACTTTTCTTCAGCCTGGGATAAACAAGGGCACCAGTATTTTGCTGGCTGTGGCCACAGGCTGCATTCAGTGCTATGCTGTGGTAGCTGCTTGGTCTAATTTAAATATCATTCCATGTATACATGTAGGACTATTACGTGGTATCAGAACTTTCATGCTTTTCTGTATCAGTTATAGATTAAAAAACTTGAGTAAACAGATGAGCCCACAATTATAGTTGCAGACTTCCACACTTCCAATCAGAAGCAAACAATAACCAATTTATGTTATACACATGTACAAAAAGGCCAAACTGAACCCCTTTATAATGTTAACAAAGAAAAAGACAAACTCGATAGCACATCATTAATTAACTCTGCAAAATTCACTCTTACATAGTACTTCATTCAACAGTGCATACAGCACGTGTTCTATTTTCCTAACAGCACCTCACAAGCAGAGCAGTTCAGGATGATCTCAAAGTCACTATTTCTCCCTGGGAGACCGTGAGCTCACAGTCCTCCTGCCTCAGCTTCGCTATACCTGGGATTATAAACTCCTCCCATCAAATCTGGTCATAATACACAATTATCAATTACATGATCCAATTACATGCGGACCAATCACCAAGAGTGACCCGATGATTGTTTATAAAAGTTACAACAGTTTTTAAAGATTGGAACCACACAAAGGCTGCTTTCAGACTGAAGTGACATCATGCAAGCAATCAAGCTAAAAAGGCAACTGCAACGTTTAGAAGATTAAGTCATATGCACTGAAGAATACTGTGTCAAAGAAGAAAACTGAAGAGATATTTTAAAAAATTGAACAAAATGTGACTTATCAAAATTTATGGAATGCTACAAGGGAGCTTACAGTGAAATTTATAGCATTATATGCATACAGTAGAAAATAATAAATCTGAAAACCAATCATACAAAATTCTACTTCAGGAAACTTGATAGTGTAGCAAATTAAACCTAATAAAGAAGAAGAAAATCTATAGTACTCTAAAGACAACAAAAACCAAATAAAAGATACTCAACTGGGATTCTGAATGAATACTTATAGCTGAGTATTACTGGAACAAAAAAAAACAAAGCAAAGAAAGCATATTTGTAAACTGAGTCCTTGCTTAACGTTTCACAAAGTGACTCCTCAGCAAAATGAGGAGCTACTAACCTTGGTCTGATTAACTAAAGGCATATCAATACAGGGTATTTTCAGACAGTTACTCCGTTGGTCAATACTTTTCTTCAAAAATATTTAATGAATAATCCACCATCAAAAGTTTATGTTTCGTCTTCCTAGGAGCAGGATATGTTGAGAAGACAGAACAGAAATGCTGGAGAAAAAGGAGGCCTAAATTTATCAAGCTTTCTCCATGCTAGTGTCAAGTACACGAGTGAGGATTCATGCCAGCCATTTGCTTAAGAGATAATCATGTGCATTTATTATTCCACTAAGACCTGTGTCATAGAAATATAGGAACAGCAAATCAGTGAAAACCCAAATAGAATAGTCACTAGAGTGAAAAAGTTTCTCATGATTTCATCTCATTCCTTACTACAGAACACACACGATTCTTTACCTCGCATCCAGGTTCTAGGTGAAGGGCTTCCCAGGAGAGAAGAGGAAGAGGATGTAAGCAGGTTGAAACACACAAGTGGAATCAAACGTGTATTTCTATGATTTTCTGGTAACATTTGCTTGATAAGCTTATCAAATCTGAAATAATTCAAGTACAGTTTTCTTATTACAATAGCAAATTATAATATGCATCTCCATATAATTTTTGAATTATACCTTTTAGTACCTTGCTGAAAATTTTAAAGCAGTATCTATTTACAGCTTGCAAAGCTCTGTTTTAAAAATTATCAATAAATATTTATTTAAGAAAGAATAAAATGTGTTATTGTTAAATTAAAAAATAAGTAAGTTTTATATCCTTTATTTGTTTCTTTAGAGAACCCTCCGAGACTGTATTTGCCTTTCTCTACTGTATAAATACCACAGCCTATATTGTTTGTGTAAGGTACAAGACTGTTCTTACATGTAGTAAAGTTAAGATTATCTATGCCATGACACAATATATTAATTAGATGAAGATGAGAGATACTTTTTAACCAATATATGGTCCTGCACTTCTCTGGATACATTTTTGAAGCCCCTGGGACCTTTAATGCAGGACAATATAAAAATTCAACATCCATTTTTAAATTTGAAATTAAAAATAGACATGACTTATCAAGTGTTATTGGTATGTTGAATGCTCACCACCCATACATCTTCAACATGCATCTCTCACAATAGTTTTTAATAGTACTTTGAGTATTCCATTATGTACATAGAGGAAAATGCTACGGAGTTCTGGAAACACACTGTGTAAGAACCTTCCTTTTCTCAACAATCACACCAGCAGAAGTGCCATCCACAGTATGGCACCCCCGAAATCCTTGTCTATTTGGAACCCTGAATTTTTTTCCTATCTTCACGCTTTTATGGTTCTTGATGTTTTCGTGAGAGAAATTCCCTCTTCAACCCAGGAATACCGCATCTTCACTGGCCAGGGCACCCAGCATGTACTCACAAAACACGTCCACAACACCTCGAAAGCTCAGCCTCAGACAATGGACAGCAACAGATCAGCAGAAGAACAGGAACTTGAGTAAATTACTAAGTCAAAAAATAAAAAAAAATCTAAAATTACAGAAGCATGAAAACCTTGTATAAAATTATGTTACATGGTAAAACAAAACAACAACAAAACCCCTGCAATTTCCTACCTAGGCCAGTTAGAAAATATATATTGCCTGGAGAGGTATAACTGTATTTTGAATTAGATTTTTATATAATTGAAACATAAAAGCAACTTTAGTAGTTACAAATCAAAGAGTGAGAAAATAATCTATGCCCTATGATCCATCAGAAGGAAATATCATACAGACATGTCCAAAAGCAAGGTGGAAAGAATCATGGACTCCTGCCAGGGTATGCAGGTCCTGGTCAAGGAGAAAATACGCAGATTAACAAAATGTCTGATCTCCGTGATCAGAATGGACATCCCGCCAGTGTTCTGCCCATACCAACAATGGCTTTGTGAGCTTTTCTCAATGAGAATGAACAAAGCCCCATAATGACAGTATTCGTAGCTTCCTTTTTCATGAGATGCAAAATAAATTTTGCCTTAGAGCTCCCAGAAACCCTCCACCAATCTCTCCTTTTCAACCAGAGAGAGGTACATGAGGGGAAATTTCTGAATACCAGTAAAACAGTGTATAGCATTGTTTTTTCTTAGAAGAAGTGGTTTTGCAATTTCGTTAGTAAGAAGTGATGCTTGAAAGGATGAAAATAACTGAGAAGATTCTTGGGAAAATGATTACAGATACACTTTTATAAAAGAGATGAATGGCATGAATACATAACACAAGGATGGATTTGGTTGCCGGTAACGTGGCAAAAAATGTAGGAATAAAGACAGAAAGACAAAGCAGAAAGAAACAGAAAATGCATATAGATTGAAAACGTTTGTAAATTATAAACTGTAAAAGAACGAACAAATATTACCAGGATTACCAGGCACGCTGCAGGGATAACAGGTTGCTGGACCTCAGGCGGGATGACTGTGCAGAAAAGGCGTTCTGGCACAAAAGAGCCGCAATATGCAAGCCCTGGGAGAGGGCAGGGAGCAGCTGTTCCCGGCCAAGCAGACCCCACAAGCTGGGTACTCAGCTGCAGAGCCGCCCTGGGAGGCGGGGCCGGGGGAGGATGACTCCCTTCCCCGCATCTGCTCTTGCGCAGGAGGAAGTGAAGGATGAGTTCACAGGTTCCTGCCACTGCTGGTGGTCCCAGGCTTTGGAATCAAGAAAGCCGGGTGGTCAAAGAACAGCCGGCCATGTAATGAGATCCTCTGAGAATGTGCTAAAAATCAAAGCTGTGAGCAGTTCTGGATGGCTTGCCTAAGATAACCAGGTCCTGACAAACCCAGGCACCAAGGTCCGGCTCTAAAGTGCAAACCCTCCTCCTTTGGTACAGAGCCCCAGTTCTGAAGGGGAGCCAGGCAGGCTGCTTCTCACCCTTCTTGCTTCCGTCACTGCAGAAAATCATTTTGGGTAAGAGAAAGGTTTCTAGAGAGAATATTTTTGTGTTAATTGAAGTCTTATTAAGATGGTGTGAGATTTGTACAAAAACAGAGAAACTAATGAATAAGAAAGAAGAGAGATCTAAAATTGACCTGTGCATAGGGCAGGGTCCTGTTTTTAGTTAACGGTCCATGAAATACACTGGGAGTATCACATTTATCTTTGACGTCACATTACACAGAAATGAATTACACATGGGTAGTGCACTTGGAAACAAACACACGTAACACTCAATACACTTAAAACTTAATGTGATTCATAGAATAAAATATTCTATGAATAATTTAAGTATATTAATACTTAATGCATTTAAAACTTAATATGATTCATAGAATGTAGTTTAGGAAAATAAATTCTTCATAAAGGGATAGGGCAGTACTTCTTAAATGAAATGGAATATGCCGACCACATAAAAATAGTTTATCATAGTTGATGTGAACAAGGTCTCTGAACTACAGAAAATGTTCAGCTCAAGTTTCATCTGTTTCTTTAGCTCGGGTTCAGAACTGGACCATGAAAATGGCAAGAGCACCTACTCCTTGGGTGCTGTGATCACTGGATAAATTAATAACACATAAATCCTGGAGACTGATAATTCTTGAGTCTAAAAACTAAGTCAGTGTTTAGTGCTGACAGCTGTCCCTAAGCAGTGGAAAGATGTGCAATTTGCATTTATTTTATTTTTATTTTTCATCAGTTTTAAAATGTACCAATCACATTATATGATTAAATTGTACTGTGATTAAATTGTACTCTTGTGATTAAACTGCATTGAATTCCTTTTCGGAAGTCTTGCTTATGTTTTCTCAGCATGATCATCAGCCATGCTAACCAAATGCTTTGGAGATTTCGTTTCTAGAGAGTTCTTTTCTCCTCTCTGTGACGTGATCTTTCCAGCCATCTGGTCCCTGCAGTCCCTTCCTGAGGTGTGCTGTTGATTCTATCACCAATTAGCATCACAGAATTGCTTTTAGATTCACAGAATGCATCTGCACTGAGCTCAGTAACAAGAACTGCGTGCAGGCCAGCAGGATTCTCACAGTATAAACTTTGCATAAATCTCTATTTGAAAAATGTGAAAATAAGCCTTAGTAGATATGCATTTTTACCCTGTGACTGTCTATGTCTCAGTAGAGGTGCCTGGTGGTGCCTCTGCTGTATTTTGGTCTATGTTTTGAGGAAATTTCCTCAAATATAATTTTATATAAGTTAACTTTTCCATAATTGTGCTGTCACCCATATATGCTTATGTGTATATTAGATTATTAGCCAACTGCTGAAGCTCCTGTTGTACATGTTGTGAAATCTAATTTCGTGTTTTTTCAGCATCTGGTTTGAGTCAGGTGGAACATGTGCACGTTGGGAGTGGGATGTGTTGCCATGGGTACCGTATCCTCCTTCCTCCAACCTCACCCTGCAGATCCACGTAACTAACCTGGGGGAGCAGACGCCCACTTGGCTCTCTTTTTTGCTTAAATGCTTCTTTATTTTGTTATATACAGGTTATTTGCAAGGAAATGGGAATTATTTTTTTTAAAGGGAACAAAAAGAAAAACCTAGCACAATAACATCCTGGTGGTGGGTTTTTATAACACGTGGCTCTTGCCACTAACTGACAAGTCCCATCTGGAGGCAAATCACCGTGACCACCTCTCCCTAGGAATTTTTCTGTGGAGCACGTTCTTGCTTCTTTTTGTAAATTATATCCACTTTAAAATATCAGAGTGTTGGTTTGTCACCCAAGCTCTCCTCAAACTTGCTATGGTTAATAATTAATAATTCTGGCTGCATATTGGTTGTAGCATGACTTTCAGGATATATTGCTATGAAGCACAACTTGAAATGAGAAAGGAAATATATCTAGCAAGTGACTTAGGTACAATGGGAATTTCAAATGAAATGACATGAATGGGAATAACTGTGTGTTATGCTGAGTTTAAGATGAATCTGTCCTAAGGAGGGAGCTCGAACTCAGAGGGGAAATAGCATCTAAATATCTGGTATTTTTATCTCAGAAGTGAAAAATGTGGTCAGGGCAGCTTGCTTCTCTTCACAGTTCTTCAGAAGACAGGAAGATGCTTTCCCACCTAACGTATGAATGTGGTGTGGAGACTATAACCCATGAACATGAACCCACAGATTCTAATGTTGGCTTTGTGGATGCCTTCAGAGAGCTGCATTCGACCCGAGGTGTTTTAGATTTTGTATCAATGATCCCTCTTCACTATCATGCCATGGAAGAGAAACAAAATAAATTTAGTCCACCTATAAGAATTTCCCACATCTTAAAAGGTAGAGCATTGCTCAGAAGTCCATCCCTGGATTCTTTTCTCAAATTTAACACAAACTCTTAACCTATGAACCCCTATGAAAACAGAACAATAATATAATCCCAAAGTACAACTGTTCAATTCTGAAAGTGTGTGCACTAGAGGTATAAGACAGAAGGATCAGACCAAAGCATGTGCAGATCCCATCAGGGCCAGTACCAATTACCCACTCTGAACCTCACATCCTTGGCACGCTGCGGTGGAAGGAGGGTGCTCAGGAACTTGGGCAGCCGTTCAGCTCTGCCCACAGCCTGCACTGTATAGCCATTTTCCTGGCCTGCCCCTGCTCCGCCTGCAGCTTCCTTTGCGCTGATACTATGTTCCTCTCAGCTCTAAATTCCTGGAGTCTCCACTGCACCTTTAGCTTCAGCCTCACAGCTTCAGGCACTGCCCTCTCGATGTCTCCTTGCAGGAGCTCTGAGCTAGCCGCACACTACTTGGCCTCATAAGGTTTCTCCTCAACGACACCGTAACTCTTGAGTCTTATATGCCTGAAAGGCCAGCAGCTTGTGCATGACACCAAGGTCTGCCCATAGCACGAGCTCTCTCTGAGCTTGCTTGAAACGAGGCTGCATGCTGTGATGGCTGAACACAAGGTGGCACATCTGGGAGCCACAGCAGTACAAGAAGGCACCCCTGGGCTTTTTTCTTAAAGGAAGTCTCGAGATAAGTTTGTTCTTTTCCACACTGGAGTCGGCTTTGGGTGGCGTCTTGCTGATAACTGAGATCCCCTCAGTAGCCACACACCCACCCCCATTTCCTCAGTAGACACCCCCACTCCACCCGGTTTTCCTGCGGCAAATTCCTCAGATTTTAAAGGTGTCAGTTTCTCTCTTTGTGGCCAGACCAAGATTTTTCCAAATTTTCCCACTCTGATCTTCTTTGTTCCTGACTCTCCTTGTAACTATGGTTAAAAGCTGCTGTGATAATATTCCACAACCTGAATGCTGTGTTGCCTTAAAATTTTCTCCACCAGGAAAAATAGTCCATTACTTCTCAGTTTGACCACCCACAACGTCCCAGGGCATGGGCACATGGCATTGAAAAGATTTGCCAGTGTATTCCATGAATGGCCTGTAGCTCTGTTTCAAGTACTCACACCTGAAACCTTGAAAACAGAACCTTTACTGTCAACATTGCTATAAACTTTCCGGTTTTCTGAGTCTTCACCAAAAATGCCCGTAAAGCTCCACTTACAACATTCTAGAGATCTTTGTTTTGGTAGTTTTTTGAGACAGGGCCTAACTGTATACTCCAGGCTGGTCTAAAACTCATAGTAATGTGGTCCAGCCTGTCTTGGAACTCACAGCAATCTTCCTGTGTCAGCCTCCTGAGTGCTCAGATTACAGGGTTTCACCCTGGCTCTTGGTCTCCTAGGATTATACAGACTACCTCTGAATGCTTTTCCAACTCCCTCAAACCAATTACTGTACCAAAGCTTCTCTACTTTATCTCCTGTACAGGCACAGCAAACACAGTTCTCAGTATCAATTTTCCATGTTGGTTTCCTTTACTCTAAAAGATACCTAAGATGAGCAATCTTTATAAAAGGAATGGATGATTTTGGCTCACGGACAGAGGTTTAAGTCCACAGTCACTTGGTAGACTGCTTGTGAGCATGAGGTGAGGCGGTAAACCATAGAGGGACAGTGTGCTGACGGAAGGCCTTGCCTCATGGTGGTCAGTATGAAGTGGTCAGGGTCCCACCTAACTCTGGGGGCTTCAATGGTTTAAAGCCACACAGCTGGGAGCACTTGTTGGCTGAGTATTTGCACCTGTTTTTTTCTGGAATTTATTCTGCAGAAGAGCCTTTCTTTTCCCTGTATCATGCCTTTCTGTCACAAAAGGACAGAACTACCAGGCCGAAAATCAGTGAAGACACAGTTGAACTCAACAAAACTGATTCGGATGTAGCTGACCTCTAAAGACCAGTGAATTCAACAACTGCCAGAATTCACATTCTCCTGTAGCACACAGAGCTCTTTCTCTAAAACAGAGACTATTCAACCTCATAAACACATATTATTAATTTAAAAATAGAAACCATATGGTATATGTTCTCGTATCATAATATTTTCAGCTATAAATCATTATCAGATAGATATCTGAAAAACTTCTAAAACCCTACAGATTTAAAAATATGCCACTGAATGCCACATGAGTTGAAGAAGTTTCAGTATAAATTTAAAATACTTGAACTAAATGCAAGTATCAATACATTTTAACAAAAATGATAGATACAGTCAAAACAGGACTTGTAAATGAAAAACAATTAAGTGCAAATTAAGAAGGCATGTTATTTTAAAAACTAAACCAGTAAAAAAACAAATAAAACACAAAGTAAATTGATGTATCACATAAATATGTATAATTTAATCACACCCAGCATATAAAAACACTAACAATTAGAAAACACTGCACCCAGCAAAATTATCCTTGATCAAGAACATGAGGACTATTTCTGAAATTAGGATGAGGAGATGCTAGGTTTATAAATAATCACCCAAATCGTACAAAATCAGTGTGTATTTAAACATAGGTAACCCACCAGTAAGAAACTTAGGTAAGTTTCTCTGTCAGTCCCTTGCCCTTACTATAA